ATAACTAAAAGGAATAAAAAAGAAAATCGTACATTCTTTCTTGTAAACTGTTTTGGGTACATCAACTTAAAACTCAACTTGAGAAGTAGAAAGTTCTTTTTGTTAAAAACGAAAATAAAAATCATAAAACATCAGCTTCAAAGCTACACTCGGTATTAGCAAAGCACACACTTATCATCAGCATTTTCTTCTGCTTGTGTTAAACTTTGTTGATTATCCATAACAGTCTTATAGTATTCCAATTCGAATTCTTCATTTTTTTGCTTCCACGCCGTTCCAAAATGTTTTGTCAAAAGTTCATCAACATTCTTTAGTTTTTCGGGATTTATTTTCAAGTTATTTATACAAACGTTTCCTGGGGACATGAGCGATATCCTCTTCCCCCTTTTGCAGATGTCTTTAGCGTTATTCACATCAGACTGGTAATTTGGTGCACCCCTTACCAGGACTTGCAGAACGAGTCAGTATCAACCGCTTACATGACTTGATTTGTAAATGTAGTGAGGTTGGTGACTTGATGACATTTGCGGCCTCCTTTTTCCAATTTTGAATATGCCAGTCCTGTCCCAATTTTTTTAAAGTACCATGGTTTTCGAAAATATTATAATACGTTTCAGGCTTGACTATTGTGTCAAGTTTTTTTATCTTTTTTTCTATCAAGGCGAAAACTCGATCTGGAGGTAAAAAAGAATGGCCAGTGACCGGAAATATCAATTGCAGTTTTTCGATATGGCTCGAAGCTTCTAACATCCATTTAGCGCACACAGACTATTACTTAATACTATTTTTGTTCTGCCCAGTGCAGCCATCTGATACCAGTCTAGTCTCTTTCACATTCTCAGGAATCGTGATTTTGTTTAAAGAGTCATAAACCGCTGAGGCGATTTCATTCGATCCCTTATGACATTCTGTTTCAAGCCATGTATGGATATAAACATTTTCTTTTAAAAGTTTTGCTTTTGATGATCCTATGACAACAGTAAAGTTGTAAAGATACAGTTACCTTTTGTAATATGTTATTTGATCAGGAATTTTCGGTAATACTAAGTTTTTTTGGCAGTCAAATGTCAGAATCAATAGATCATCACTTTGGCCTCTGAGTTTATCATAAAATGCTTTTGCCCTTAGCTTATGTATGCCTTGTTTCACTATTAAATCGTTTTTACCTGCAAATCTTTCTCTGTCTTGATCATTGCTCTGTATTCAAGGCATTGCGAGCAGACATCTACTTGTGGCGCATTGAATCCTATATAATATACACGTCAACAGGATCTAGCCGGTCTTGTTCATAAACAAGAACATAATAGTTGGTATAGCAGTGGATGTAGCCGGTTTTGGTAAAACCAAGGATTTAGCCACTTTTGTAATAAAACACGCATCAGCTTAAGCCGGATTTGAAAATAAGACTGAAATAGTGTGCTGATTTATATAGATTTTGCCGCATTTTGGAAACGAGTATGTATTACAGTATATTACTAGAACCTTTGACTATGAGATGGCAGCACCCACACCATTTTTCGTAAATATGGATTTAGCCGCTTTTGGAAATAGGGGACTCATATATATATATATATATATATATATATATATATATATATATATATATATAAGGTGTATAAGGTGTATAAATATGGAACTTCTGGAGTACCTTGAACGTCATGGCTTTATTAGCAACAAACTGTGGAGTAAAATCATCCAGTCGTATGAGGAGGCTCATTCCGTTGCTCTCCATCATATATGGCCTGCTAGAGAAGCTTTGCAGATGAGTGGCAACATACCCATCGTCAGCCGCGGTATCCTGATATTTAGGCTTCTTCCTACGTGACCGCTCTGGTATAAAAATAGACTTGCTTCAAGTCTTGCGGAAAGCAGTTCAGATCCCTGCAAATCTGTTTGATCGCAAGCTGTGGCTGGATCGAGAATAAAATGATATTGTGAAACATCGGTTTATGCAAAGTAGGGATATTCGCACCAATTCGCGAATCCCCCAGTTCTTGTATCCAATTTCACATAATAGTATTCCCTCGTAGTCGAGCAGACAGCCCCCGCTTGAAGCCATTCCTGTATTTGTTACTTTGATGGCTCTCGTAAAAGCCTGACTTCATTTTCAAGTAAATGAAATTTTCTAAACTAATTTTATAGAAAGCTATTTGTGCCTGTGGCCGCGGAAAATACGAGACTTTAATTGAGACTGAGCCGCAAATAGCTTCCATTGAAAATAAATTAGCTGTTAATTTAATGCCACCTCCTTGTGAAACATAAAAGATGGAACACGATGCGGCGTTCCATGAAAAACAGCAAATGGCTCTTAGTGGATTTACTTTAAATTTATTTTGTGCAGTATGCACTACAATTTCTGAATGCTCTTCTCCTTAGCCATTCTTGGTAACTCTAGAGTGACATTACAGTTTAATAAGCTACTTCAAAAAAATGTTAATTCAGGTTGCTGCGTAGTCTTGTAGGCTCTGAAATCACCCTTGAGAAAGACCTAATCCTAATGATTTGGATTACAGTAGAAGAATCGATTCAGAATCAATGCTCTCTCGGCTAAGAGAGTGCGTTTCTATCTCTATGTTTAGATAGAAAGTATTTGAGGAACAGCTAGTCTATTATGCGAGCAAAATGGAAATGAAAAAATACCTATATACAATTTAAGTCGCTATGTTGTTTTGCTGTAAGATTGACAGAAGCTAACACAGCATTAACTTTTCCAAATAAGGTCAGCCTTAGAAATCAAAACTAGGAGCACAGGAGTTCTGGCGGGATTAACATTAAAATTAACAAGTTTTTAAGTGCTTTTTTGGGTTTAATATAGCATTTGGGTCTCAAAACAATCACAGTTTCTCCGTAATAATGATAAAAAACCTGAAAAACCCTTCATGACTTCTTTTCGCAAAAAATAGGGTTAGTGGTTGTTTAACCAAACAATTATATTAGTCATTTTTTTATTGCTTTTATTGAAAATTACTATTATAAATCAGTGTATTAACATGTGATGTTTTTCTCTGAGTTTCAATATATTTCAGCAAAAAAATCGTGTTTTAAAAAATTACTATAAAATTTAAACAAACAAGAATATCCAAAAAAAAGTATGATAGATGAATTTCTAATTTTCATCTGCCATGAAAAGTCTTATTAAAATCATTTAAGAAAGGTGAACAGTGAATTTTTAAGTGCCACCAAGTCATTAGAAAAATGGAACTCAACCGAAAACATTTTCGAGCCATAATTTATTACAGCTTTCAGAGACAATTATCGCAACAAGAATGCCATGCTGAGTTACTGTCTGTTTTCGGCAACGAAGCATTCGACAATTTCCCATGGAGAATTCAAACGTAAACGGGTGAGTCTTAGCGACGATCCCAGGGTGGGTGCACCATAAACGGCAGTCACCCAGGAAAACGTCGATGCTGTGCGCAAATAACTCATCATTGAAGATAGACATGTGACATATCGCAAGATAACGGCGTCCTTGAAGCTCTCAAAGACCTCAATTCAAAAAAATTTACATGAAGAACTAGGAGTAAGTAAATTAGTTTCTCGTCGGACCTGTTGACTGAAGAGCAGAAAGCAGCCAGGGTTAATTGGTGTCAAAAAACGCTTGACCGTTTCAATTCTGGAAACTCAAAAAATGTGTACAGCATTGTTAGTGGTGATGAATCGTGGATTTACTGTTATGAACCAGAAAATAAACGACAGTCGGTTGTTTGGGTGCTCCAAGGTGAAGAAAAGCCAACAAAAGTCATCCGTTCTCGAAGTGTTTCGAAAAAGATGGTCGCGACATTTGTGTCAAAAGCGGGTCATATTGCAACAATTCCTCTTAATGAGCAAAGAACTGATAATGCGGATTGGTATACCACCATTTGTTTGCCGAAAGTCATCACCGAGCTTCGAAAAAATAACCCCGAAAGAAGAATCATCCTCCACCAAGACAATGCAAGCTCGCACACAGCCCAAAAAACAAGGCAGTATTCAACGGAAGAAAACGTGGAATTATTGGACCATCCTCCATATAGTCTCGATCTAAGTCCTAACGATTTCTTTACTTTCCCGAAAATTAAAAACAGACTGCGTGGTCAAAGGTTCCAGTCACCAGAAGAAGCAGTTGACGCATTCAAAAATGGCGTTTTGGATCTGAAAGCAAACGAGTGGAATAAGTGCTTCGAAAATTGGATCGAGCGCATGCAGATGTGTATTAATCTTCGTGAGGAATTCTTCGAAAAACAATAAAGTCATTTAAAACTACCTACCGTGTTGTTTTATTTCCGTATACAAAACTTAAAAGACATCCCTCGTATGGCCTTGAGTCCCAGCTCCTTAACGTCTGTGAGTCCAAAGTGATGGCAGTAGTAGCCTGTAGTAGCTCACCTCACCTCACACAGCGACACAGAACATGCACCGAGGTCTCTGCCTCTGCCCTCCAGCAAGGATAAGCAGAAACGTCCGTCCTTAGCGCTGGGCCATACGATGAGTTCCCGTGCCTGATGGAGATGTCTGAAGATGCTTTTCCATTTCTGAGAGTGTTGTCTTGCAATGCACTCCTCCATTTTCCTCGTGATTGTTTGCGCGTGCACCCCTAAGGCTGTCTCAGGAGCAACGAGCTTGCCATAGCATTGCCCTTTAACCCAGCGTGCTCCGGTACCCACACTCACGTTACCGGATGCCTCGTTGCTGAACAATCCAGAGCCTCACTACATTGCAAAAAAGGCTCAAAGTAATCTTACAGGTACTTAGTGCCTTCATTGCATTCTGGCTATCGGAGAAGATTATTATTCTTGTCCTAGGCCCTCTCCCCTCCAAAATGCGGGAATCGCAGATATATGCATACAAGATACAAGCCAAATACTGAATTTTATTGAGTTTGGCCTTAGTCGTCTCCGTTCCAACGGAATCCGTACAAGAGAGATGTCATTTGGACTTGATTGCTTCAGAGATAGCTGTATTATTCTATTAATGTTTTCTGTTTGTTCCAGATACAATACAAAGTAGAAGATTTCAAGGTGTCGAATGACCTAAGGTATATTCTACTGATCAGTGATGTTTCTAGAGTTTATAAGTATTCTACGATAGCGAAGTACCACATTTATGAAATTGCTACTAGGTAAGTACAGAAGTACACTATTTTTAAGGAATATTTCAATTGTACGTGTATTATCTTGCTAACTTTTAGAGTTAATACGGAGTATCTCAAGAAGAATAATGTTTAGGAAGCTCTGTATCTGCATTTTTGGGGGTGGCGTTTTTTTCTTTCTGAATGTGTTTCCAGAACGCTTTCAATATACTGGAAAGGCGATTGCTTGTACTGTCCTAAAACTACTTCGAGGATACAGTACTAACAAAATTTTCGAAAATATCAGTTCTCATCAGCGAGATTTCTAAATATAAGAAATTTGGTGAAAATGAATACCTCCAGGTTGATGTAAATGTAAAATATTCTCCTCATTCGCAACGAGATCATTTCTTATTGAGTTACATCACTGATTAACTTACTCTAACTGAAAATTGCCAACCTGATACTATATTCCCGCGTCCAAAAATTATCCAAGATAAAATGAGATACCGTAGCTAATCATTAAGAATTTGTGACAGCTATGTTCTCTCTGCACTAATCAAAAACCTACTTGGAACCCTTACAAAGTAGATTGTAATTATTGCGGAGAGGAAAAAGATAGTTATAATATTATTTTGGATACCTTAAGTTAGATTAAGTATTACAGTACTACTAAAGTTAGTCTTTTAAACAATTAAGTTGTGTAAAGCTCCATAGGACTAACCTAGGGCGATCGGAGTAGGCCATAAGTCAGGTCCTTCTCTGCCAGCAGCAGCTACTCGTATACTGAGGCTGCTGTTGATAAAAATGACGCTGGTATGCTTAGAAAAGTTCTGCTTTTAAGGCGAAGGATCTGAAACTTATACTGTGTTTGCCTCTCTGATAAATCCTCGCGTGATATTAGCTGCCACAGACGTAGAATTGAAAGATATATCAGCGCTTTAGCCACCTCGGTCGGTTTTTTCAAAATACAAAGTGTTATTCCACCAACAGCAACTTCTCGTTCGTTGTGCGGATTCAAAACGAAGCAGATTGCCGAAAATCGTCATACTCCTAAATCGTCTTAAAAATAGTAATAGAAACTGATAATTTTATAATGATTATAAATTTTTGTATCGATAATAACTGTTTTATATTCGATAGTCGCAAAAATTTGACCTAGGAATGGGAAAAACTGCATGTCACCTGTATGTTCAGATATGGTTATGGTGGTTTTCCAGAGCTAATGTTTAAGCCAACTGTCTTTTGATGTTGATTTTTTTAAAAGATATGTGAAGGGCATAGTTACTTAAGAACACGTCTCAAAATCAATGAAATTGTTATTGTATTTAACAGCTATCACGAAAAAATCAGTTCACTGTTAAAGTCGAGGTAGAACACAAGGTTCCAACAAACTCAAATTTGATTGGTACCAAAAACCCACTGTCTCCGAAAAGCTCCTTAATTTCAGTTCGGACCACCCGCAATGACCATAAATAATATGACACGTGGAGCATTATATTTATCTGACACAGAATTCTATCACAAAAATACGGGTGACAGGTAAATAGATGTAAAAAATTTTAGGAGGTGATAGTACAGCTCCTTTGCTATCATAATTAGTATATAATACCATACCCTACATTCAAAGGTTAAAAAGTTATGGAAGATTTAATTTTTTTTAAAAAACAACCCAGATTACAGAGTATAATAGTTGAGATAAAAAAAAGTTGGTGATTGAACATTCTTTTTTTGGTGGTTTCAGGTTATTATTTAAATAAATAATTCTCATAAATTAAAAAACATATGAAAACACTACAGAAAACGTATTTATTTTCATTTAAATGTTAAATGAAAATTTTTATTTTCAACTTTCACATTAAGAAGTCTTTTTTTTTCAAAAAAATCATAATAAAGAAAATGTACAAATAACTGCAAAAACTTCCTCGTTTCATTAGGTTTCTAAAATGGTATAATAACATATCAGTAAGTAAACCATTTAACAAAACAATATTACTTTGCTAGAAAGGACCGCTGAGCGCATTTCATTGTACTGAGCAGGTCTACCGAGCCTTTCATGGTTCGACCCTTTTTGTTATTTTTTGTGCCCTGTGCCGTTATTCGGGTTTAAGTATTCGGAATCTGTCGTCGCTCCTCGGAAGCAAGCTCTGCGTGTGTTATGAATTGACACAGCTGACGGATCAAGGAAAGGGAACTAACGTTTAGGTTAGTTAGTAGAATATCAACCTTTAACGCGGTTGGACGTACTTTTACTTTTTTGATCAGTTTTAATAATGGCGAGTTACCGTAACGAAGAATACGCTGATATTCTGTTTTGTTATGGTTTAAGTGATGGAAATTCCGTTGAAGCCAGGCGAGAATACGAAAACCGTTTTCCGAATCGGCGAATACCGAGTCATCGAGTATTTGCTTCTGTGTACCAACGCGTCAAGGAAAATGGACAGGTTCATGAGAGAGGTCATGATGCTGGTAGACCTCGGTTGTTTGACGACGAAGATCGAGAGGCAATACTGGAATGCTATGGCAGAGACCCGACGACGTCTACACGAGTTATAGCAAAGCAGCTTGGTTTAACTCAGTGGAAAGTTTGGTTCGTTTTGCATTCGGCGAGACTTTACCCTTTCCATTACAGACTTTACCCTTTCCATTACACACCGGTTCAAGTATTAGAAGAAGGAGATCCTGCAAGAAGAATTGATTTTTGTCGATACATGCTTCATCGGGATCAAGAAGAAAACGACTATTTAACTTAAATATTGTGGACCGACGAGTCTAAGTTTGACAGAGAGGGGACATCAAAGTATCACAACTTACATTATTGGGCCCCACGAGAGGAAAATCCCCACATGGCAAGGCTAAGAGCCCATCAAAGAAGATTTTCGGCAAACGTGTTGATGGGAATCATTCATACGTATCTAATTGGACCAGTTTTTTTGCCTGACAACCTGAATGGCGAATCCTATGAAAATGGGATCCGAACTCTGGGAGTATCTCGAAGACCTGCCTCTGTATATCAGGATGCAGATGATCTACCAACACGATGGCTGTCCCGCGCATTTCCGTCTGGGTGTTAGACAGTGGCTGGACGAGAAATATCCTTGTCGCTGGATTGGCCGAGGTGGACCGACACCGTGGCCAGCGAGGAGCCCAGATTTCACACCGTGTGACTATTATTTATGGGGGCACATGAAGTCACTGGTGTACGCTGAGCCCATAGACACTCTTGCACAGTTGAAAGAAAGAATTATTGCTGCTGCTGACACTATCAGAGGACAACTAACTAGCCGCGTCACGCGTACCAACATGAGAAAAAGACTACGGGCTTGCATAAGAAACGGCGGGCGTCAGTTCGAACAACAATTGCAATGAATTTTACCTTCATTTCATTATTGTATTTTACTTACTAATTGTAGTAACTTTTAGTCAGTTTTTATTATTCTGTAGTACAATTACAACTGTGTAAATAATCTAATCGTGTAACTTAACCGTAGTTTAAAATAATAACTATCCCATAGCTTACAGTTACATCATTTTCACAAAAACACTTTCTTATCAATCAGAGAGTTGTGAAAATAGGAGACAAGCCATTGGTAAATTTACTCCCTATTGTTGTATTACAATACATTATGTTTAGTTTCACACAGTTTTTGTGCATTTATCATACCAATATAGATTCCTTATGAAACAAGGATATTATTTATTTTTTGTATACTGATTTTTTTGTAAAACACCTTACTTACTGGAAAACGTTATTTGTTTTTCTTAGTTAAACATTTTTGAATGAAAATAAATACGTTGTTTGGTATTGTTTTCGGTTCTTTTTTAATTTATAACAGTTAATTATTGAAATAATAACCCAAAACCACAAAAAACAAATGTTTAATCGCCAACTTTTTTTTCTCTCGACTTTTTTACTCTGAAATATGGATTGTTTTTAAAAAAATCTTAAATCTGCAATAACTTTTTAACCTTTGAATATAGGGTATGGTATTATATACTAATTTCGATAGCAAAGGGGCTGTACTATCACCTCCTAAAATGTTTTACACCTATTTACCTGTCACCCTGTATATCATTTATAAAACAAACTACAGAACAATAAGCAAAATAATAGCCCCCCACTAATAATACTTAAAAATTCCGTATGTGAAAAAATTTGAGGGAGAAATTGGTGAGTGCTTCAAGTTCACATACAACTAAGACTGCATATAAAAGTGAAAATGTCCACCTAGAAAAGGGACATACGCAGTTAGTCCAACACAATTTTTCAGAATGTCATATGTTTAATTTTGATTCTTGCGAGCTCCTATCTAGAAATGTTAATTGCAGAAAAAGTATGTTCCTGGAAATGTTGGAAATCAAAACATAGCAGATTCAAGTATAATGTATTATGATATCATTAATTTAATTAAGACAAGACAACCATCACCATATAGTATCTATCAACAAAAAGGCAAAACATAAATATAACAAAAAATAGGTCAGATGTTTACTATTTAGGAATATCTTTCTCCTTCGCATCAGTCTGTATGTAACCACGAGGGCTGTAAATTAAGTGGTGATACTATTTTTTTAATTTTTTTTATTCAAATTACAATTTTATATTTTCACCCTCAACTTAACATCCTTTCGAAGCCACACAGCGCTAGAGACAGTTCTTCCACTCCTTATAGCAGTACTGGAACTCCGATACCTTCCGCTGGTAGGTCACAGTCCTTTCAATGTTTTCGGCTGTCCCAAAATAAGTTCCCTTGAGGTGATTTTTCAACTTCGGGAAGAGAAAAAAGCCTCGACAACTCAAGTCGGGCGAATAAGGAGCCTGAGGAGCCACAGGAATGTCTTTACTGGCCAAAACTCGTTCATCAACATTGCTTTGTGACAAGGAGCATTACTGTGATGCAACAACCAGTTGTTCTTGGTCTGTTAAATTTAACTCTTCCCCGATCATTCTGACTATCAACGTCTGGATACACATACATAATAGTTACTTACGTAGAGTTAACAAAATTATAGGAGCATAAAGGTACACGTATCTCTACTTCCGAAAATGA